GGGTCCCCATAGCTAGACATGGGAACCTGCTCTCCCAGGAACATGACTGGTCCAAGATATAAAGCTTGAATTTAACAGGGCAGTTTGAAGGTAACCGCTGTCAAAATCTGCCAGGAAGATTAGCAGGAAATAGCTGACATTCATATTGACAAAGAACCAGGCATGAATGATGGGTTTAAGTGTCCTCTTGATGGCTCATCCTAGGTGGATCAGATGTTAGGCTGCCTTTATCAGTGGCTGGATTGGATTAGCGATACTTCAAGGTTGCTCAGCTGTCTATAGCTGGAAATGGTTCACATTGTCTTGATGAAGTATTCCTTGGAACAAGAGATACGATGGTATTAGACAAGCCTTGTGGCTGGCCAGACACCTCCAGGGTGTGTCTGGATATTGGTGATGTACTTAGCTTTGAAAGTTTTTTTGTTTTTGAGCAAGCTATGTCACGGGGCAGGGTGGGGTGGGGTGGGGCGTAGTACTTAGTTTTTAATTCCAGCACACCCTTCCTCTCGTGTCTGTGGGATTTTCCAGTGTCCTGGCTATACGATTCCCCAAGTGTCAGGTCCCCTTGTCATTTAGGCTCTAAAAGGGGGTGCCTCTTAAAACAACCGATTCCAAAATAAGAGGGGGGCCATACTGTCGAAGGGGTCTCGGCTGGAGGCAGGGTCGTCACAGCTCCATGATGGGTATGGCCTCATGGGGTTAGATCCACCCAGCTTTGTCATGCAGTCTTGTCCAATCCCCTTCCGTGCTACAGCTGCCATCCCGCAGGGCTTTTGCCTGTGCGGGACCTATGATCCCTAGCGTGGCCTTTTTGTAGTCAAAGGGGGACCCTTCCCTTTTCCCTAACAGAAAAGTTGGTTGGAGCCAACCCCGTGGTACCTACAGTCCTCTTTGGACAAACAGGTTTTGAAGGCTTTGGTGTTGTTTCAAAAACTTGAAAAATGTCTTTAACCAGAAGTGACTGTGTGTAAAGCACCATTGTGTCACATCTGACACCCCCCCTCCATGGGGGTTCTGAAGGCAAGAGACTAACGGAGGTGGTCTCCCCATGGCCTGCCTCTGAAGGGAGAGTAAGTAGGAGACAAATGCTTCTGTACACAATGCCTCTTCCAAACCACCTTCAGCTCTCTTAAAAACCGTCCTCTAGATACCATGAAATTAACAATTTGTCTTCCTTCCTTCCCTCTCTTTTTTTTTGGGGGGGGGCACCTTTCATAGCATGCAGCAAGGGAAGATGTTTTTCTTCATTGGGATCACAATGGCTTTGATCCAGGGTGGCTACACTCGCCAAATCAAGCCTGGAAATGAACTCAAGACTGTCAAGACGGTCAGTGTCTTTTTCTCTTTTTTATAATGTAGCTATTCCATTCGTGTCCAGCTATGCACTGTTCCCCAAGGGTCGCCCCACCCCACCCCCGTAAGACTGACCAGTCCTGGACTTGTGTCGCTTCAGCAAGGCGGCAGGACTCCATCGGGGGCCCTCGGGCCATACTGAGGCTCCCGTTCCAACAGATTTCTTCACACGCCTCCATTCCTTATCCCTCTTATCTTTACAGAAACTTTAACCATTTTCAAAACAATTTTTCTTTCGTTCAACTCTTGACGTCTTTACTTCCCTATACAAGAGACTGCAAAGGATGGGCTTGCGTAGATGGCTTCATATCCATACAGCCATCAATAATGAAGTAATGGGTTCCCTGCATCTTTTTCTCTTATATTATATATTATGACTATGAAGAAGATATTGGGTTATGTTTGTCAGGAGCCAGGCTCTAACTCATTGGCTTGTATGTAAGAGGCTGTTTCTGGTCGTGAAGCCAGTTCCACTATCAAATCGTTGCACGCACACACGCACACACAAAACATTCCCAGGATGAAGCAAATGCATGCTGCAAGTTTGTTGTGGCCAATATAGATCCAATAATACACATTATTGGATCTATATTGGCCCCAGTTTTGTTTTCTTGGTTGTGTGCTTACTGGGAGGTCTGTTTTGTTTGGATTTGGCAAGTTTGTTGTGTGCATATGTCCTTGGCCAATCTTCCTTTGGTCTACTGATTTTGAAATTGCTTGGGACACCTGCTGTTGTTGAAGAGGTAGTCAGGTGCCAAAGGAAAACACAAGATTAACTCAGAGTAGGAGGTGAAGATAATTGGCTCCATGTATAAAAAAGCTGCGGTGGCTCAAGTGGTTAAGACGCTGAACTGCAGGCTGTGGAAGGTCAGGAGTTCAAGACCCGGGTGCTGCAAGACGGGGTGAGCTCCCGTCTCTAGTTCCAGCTCCTGCCAACCGAGCAGTTCAAAAGCAAGAAATTGCAAGTAGATTAATAGGTACCACTTTGGTGGGAAGGTAACAGTGTTCCGTGCACCTTGGTGTTTAGTCATGCCAGCCACATGACCACGGAAACGTCTTCGGACAGCGCTGGCTCTTTGGCTTTGAAACGGAGATGAGCACCGCAACCCTAGAGTCGGATTCGACTGGCTTTTGAGCAAGGGAACCTTTATAAAAAAGCAACCTGACGAAGCACTGGGGGAAGCGGAATACTTATCTAGGAAATCTGTCATCGTTTGTTGTTTGGAAGTTTGTTGTTAGGAAGCAGCAGTGGCAGCACTGCATGACATGAAATAAAGGAACAAAAGAAGAAGTAAGTTGGTGGACTGTAACTGTAATAGAATCATTTTTTCCACAGTGAACTTTGGTGGGGTGTGCCTTTGGTTAATCACTGTGATCCAATAGTGGCTTAAACTACTGGGGGAGGCTTATGACCGGGGGGGGGGGCTTTGCAAGCAAGCCCAGCTCAGCTCTATTTGGTTTTCAGGGGAAGACTGGTCCCCCCCCCCCCTTTCAGGTCCCATTAGTGGGAGAGGAGAGCCATTTCAGCTGGTGACACTGCTCCAGAGTTAACCCCCCCCTTCCTTCCCTGTGTGGTGCCCACCTGCAGTTTGCCTTTTGCAGACCTGGCCAAAGCAGCTGAAGCAGAGAAGTAGATGGGGACCGTGACAGGCCCTGAGCCCCAGCTCCTCTCAGTAGCAGGACAGCCCCAGAGGACACGGCCTGGCCCTTGGCTGCTCGAGAGAGAGAGACGGAGGGGCTGTTACTGCACAACTCAAAGACTTTTCACAAACTCACTCTCTCTCTCTCTTTTGCAGGCAATTTTGTTGTCAGTTCCTGCTTTCCTTTTAATTGGCTGGAGTGGGGGCATGATCCACTTGAGCGCAGGACTGCTGCTGTACTCCTTTGGTGAGTTCCTCCAATGAATCTTTTGGGGCTCTGCATGTGAAATTTGTTCAGAGGTTTCTCAAGTTCAGTAATCCGTGTGGCTGATGTCTTCGCGTTGCTGCTGTTTCTCCTGCAATCCTGAGTGAAGAAGCCTTGGCTCAAAGACTGTTCTGATGCTGATAGCACTCCTGGAAGCTGCAGTGGGGACATCTGGAAAGGTCACTAGTGTCTCTTTCTCTCAGTCAGCATGGGATTTTCCCAGTCTCCTTCCACCTTCCAAGAGCTGGAGACAATGTGTGGATCGCATTAAGCAGCCCTCTTGGTTTCCTGAATAGAAAATAAACATGACTCCTCCCGGAAAGCCATGACTGCTGTGGAGGAGGGAGTGGGATGAGGGCAGCTGCTGCCCAGTCAGAAGGCGGGAACAGCCGCTGAGGTAGTGGGAAGGGCTCCAACATGACGGGAGGCCCCGTTCTCCGGGCACCCCCTGAGCAGAAGGGCTGGCTCTGACCGCACATCGAGGATGGCTCCAAGTCCGTCCGTCCGTCCCCAAGAGGCAAATTCTTCAACATACTAATAATCTCTCCCTGGGAAGCTCTGGGGAGTGCAGATTACAAACACGGTTATAGCATGCTGAATGGAAAATCTCACTTCTGGCTGGGACGGAAGGACATTTTTGGCCTGAGAGACTCGTGAGTTGACCTGTGGGCCACAACCACGGGCCTGCGTCCTGTCCTTTTGTGTGTGTTGCCAACAGGGTTCCCACCTGGGGGGGAGGCACTGGACAGCCCCTTGCCTAAGGCCTCCCCCCCCCCCCTCACTTCCCAAGCCTAGACTTGGCCTTGTGCTGTTACCCCACATGGCTCTGTGGAGCTCCGGAGGGAAGTCACCGCAAGTAGGGAGCCCTCCCTCTTGGTTCCTGGAGCTCCCTTCATGTCTGAACGAGGGCCAGCAGGACTTTTAAGCACTGACTGCTTGTTGCAGCCGTTGCTTCTTAGAATTTTAGTTTAGATACTTAATCTTAAATTTTCAGTTGATCACACTGCTAAAGAGAATAGGATAAAAATGTGCTATCTTTGGCATCTAACGCCTCATGAATTAGCTAAGAAAGGGGTTAAAGGTGATTGTTGGATGTGTGGAGTTGCTGATACAAACTTTATACCCACGTGGTGGAGATGCCTAAGAATATTGGGAAATGATTTCTAGAGCTGATTCTCAAGGGATATGTAAAGAGTTATCTTCATCTGTGTGTTTCTTGTGGAATTACATAGATTTTCTTCCCAAAAATATTAAGAAATTAGTTTTAAACAAGTGGAGACCCGCAAGAAACTTGCGGAATGGTTATCCTGTTCCTCACACCTTTGCTTCCTCCTGTCTCCCTCTACCTCTCTCACACTCTGTCTCCCTTCTGCCCCCCCTTTCTTTTTCTCCTCCAGCTATGGCATTATACTGATCTGTAGTTCCTTCCCTCCTCCAATCCCACCCTCCCCAGGCTCCACCCCACAAATGTCCAGGAATTTCCCAACCTGGAGTTGGCAACACAATTTCCTTCCCACCCAACAGCCAACCTACCTTTATCTGCCTCTCTGTCTGCAACTTTCCATCTCCACACCCCTCCCCCACAGCCTCTACCTAGAAAAATTACAGTCTTTCTCCACAGTGGGGACCAAAACAGCTTACATTATTCTCTCCTACTTTTAATCTGCACAACAACCCAGCTTTCATAGGGTGGCTGCTGATGAACAGTAGCAAGCAGCTGGGCCTACTTGAGTCATGCAAATCAGGTGGTATCAAGTCACCCAGAGGGTGCTGCCGAGGGATGCCAGCCTCCAGGTGGGACCTGGGGATCCCCTGTAATTCCTGCTCATTTCCAGACTACAGAGATAACTTCCCATGGAGAAAATGGATGCTTTGGAGGGTGGACTCTGTGACATTGTACCCCACTGAGGTCCCTGTCCTCCCCAGGCTCCTCCCGCAAATCTCCAGGAGTTTCCCAGCCTGGACCTGGCAACCTTATCCAGAATCCCCTGTCGGTGGCCAGGGGGGGAACCTGGCAACCCTAAAGTGCTGGCAGGCCCAGGCTTGGCAACCTCTAAGTGGGGCCTGAAGGAACCCCCCCCCAGACTTACAACTGAACTCAAGGCAGCAGAGATCTGTCTCCCTGGAGAAAATGACTGTTTTAAAAGGTGGACTCTGTGGCATTATACCCAGTCGAGGCCTCTCCCTTCCCCAAACCTCAAAACCTCTAGCGATTCCCCAGAACGTTCTAACCTCTCTCTCACAGTTAGATCCCTGCTGCAGAGGCCATTTCAAAAGCTTTTCGGGGGAATTCAGCCATCCCTGGAGAGATTTCCTTACTTTTTCGATTTTTGTGCAAATACAGGAAGTGTACTAAGCAAATAGAAGCAGGTTCTGAGGCAGACGGAGCTGCCTTTTCCTCAGACTAAGGATCCGCACGGCGCCCTCTGTTGGCTATTAGAATATATGATGATGCTATACCTTCTGCAGGATTAGTCTTTGCTAGACAGGAACATAACTCCAAACAAAGAGGAGTGGTTGGAGACTCAAAATAAATGGGAACAGTTGAGTAAACTAACCTGTATGTTACATGGTACAAAATTAGATAAGTTTAATAAATGGAATATTAGTCTGACTAGGATGGTGAACTGACCTTAATAATGTCTGTATGATTTGTTTATGGAATGGCAGATGAATGGTGCAGTGGTTAAAGTGTGGGACTGTGCTCTAGGGAGACTCAGGTTCGAATCCCACTCATGCCATGGAAGCTCCTCACCAGGTGGCTTTGGGCCAGTCACACCCTCTCTGCCTCGCCTACCTCACAGGGCCATTGTGAGAATAACGTGGAGAGAGGAGAATGATGTCAGGCACTTTCGGTCCCCATTGGGGAGAAAGGCTGGATATAAATTACTGAGTAATTTTTAAAAATGAATGTCCATTTAGATAACTTTCTGTGCAGCAGTATCTGGGGACGGAGGGCGCAGGGAGCCCCTCTTCTCCCCATGTAGGAAAGGGGGGGAGCTACCCACCAGTCCTGGGAGAGGGGCCCACCCTAAGGCCAGATGCCCCCCCCCCGGGCAGTCATCCTGTCCCTCCGGCTGGGGCCTGGGCAGGGGGATGGGAGGAGGAGCGGGCACGCTGGGCGGCGGCAGAACCCCTGCTCTCAGGCAGAGAGAGCTCTTTGTCCACCGGCTCCTCCACACGGTGCATCGGGGCCGCGGGCTTTGTTTTTCACCGTGGCTCAAGTCTTGTACCAGCTGACTGCCTGGTCCTTGCGAGAACGGAAGGCTCGGTGCTGGACTCCTTCACTCGGAGGCAAGCCCCTGTCACAGGTGGTGCTTGTTCCTGGCACTCCTGCTATATTAGGTCTAGGTGCTGTTCACACCCACTGCAAATATAATCGTCACCCGTCTTCTTCCTGGGCTCTGTGTGTGCGCATGCACATTGCCTCAGAACTGGTCTGGGTGTCCCCCTTGGTCCAGGGCATGTGAAAGAGGATGTCTTTATGCTGCCAGGGTGTGCACGACTTGTACAACTGTTTGTGCCACACGTGGTCTCAGAGAAGGGCCTTTGCTGAATCTCTGGCCCCTTGTGGATGTTTGTTTTTGCTGTCCAGTCTGCCAGACGATGCCCTCAGAACCCCTTTTTATTCTAATCTGTGCTTCACTTGCTTCCAGCTGCTGCTGCCGTGGTTCCATGTTTGTCCACAGTGGTGTCGGGCTACGGTAAGTGGCTCCTTAAGATCCTGTGAGGACAGAGAGCATGTCTGGAAGGAAACTCACTCAGCTGGCTTCCAAATTTTCCTTTAAGTGAAAAAGAAAGTTGAAACCCAAAATCTGAAATCGAAACAATCCACCTGGACCTTTTTGCCCTTTATATAATTCGGGGGGGGGGGGTATAGGTGCAGTTCATTGCTGTGCTAGCAGGTGTTACATGAAGGATGGGAACTACAAGCAGGGATGAGAACACAGAGATAAGCATGCAGAGACAGTTAACAAGCAGGCAAGCTATGTACATCAGAGCACCAGTGTGCATGTAGTCTGACCCAATGATCCAGCCGAGGGCATGACACTCAGAGATCCGATTCTGACAGTTGTTTATAATTTATTACTCAGGGACATAGCTGGCAACTGCAAGTATTGGCAGTCTGGACCAAGAAATCATCTCTCAATTGGCTGCCGGTGTGTATCCTATATGGGCAACGTGCCGCAAGATGGCGCTTTCCTCTGTGGTGCCGCGCACGCCATCTTCTGCCTTCCTGAAGCAGAAGGGCAGAAAGAGCAAGCGACTCTCTCCTTTTCCCCAGCGAGTGGGGGAGGTGTGCCACAGAAAAATGGCTGAAGAAGCCACAGAGATGGGAATGATTGTCCAGTCACGAGGGTTCCAAAAACAGTGTAGAGAAAAGGGGCACAAAGTGGCCTGGAGAGAAAGTAAAGTGGCACCTGGCTCTTCTTCCCGCAGGGCCGGCAAGCCAGAAAGGAACCATGATGGGCACCTTACGGAGTTTGGGGGCCCTCGCCAGAGCCATGGGACCCATCCTGTCAGCAGCAGGTAATGGCGCAGGGGCCCTGTGAGGGGGCGCCCTTGTCTTCTGGCGCTTCCTCTGTCACAAAGTGCAGAGCCTTCCTCAGGTTAACAGGAACGGAGACCATTGACCAGTGAAACCCACAGTTTTTTCTGTGACGTGAAACATGGGGAATGCCCCCATCATGGTGGAACTGGCCTGTTTTACATACCTGTGCCAGGAGAGGCTGTGGGCAGCAGCTGGGGCTCAGAAAGAGGCTGTGCCCCCCAGTAGGCAAAAGGAGCAGCTGTCCAGAGCCCCCCCCACTGGGGGGCCTGTTGCTCACAGCCCTGCCCCTCCAGTGGGGGAGGGGACAAAAGCAGGCTCCTGCCACTGGTTGTGCCCGCTCCTTATGGGGTCGGTCAGCCAGCTTGGTGGTGGCCACTCACGCCCACCCTGTCCAGGTAGCTGGTTCCCACCAGCATTTGCCCCCCATGTTACACAGGGCAAGGGATGCTAATTGCTTGGACGCTGCAGGAGGGCAGTGGTGGGGCAGGCTCTGCTGGGGGGCGGGCAGCAGTGATTTTGGGGGCCCATCCTGGGCTTTTGCCCAGAACATGGACCCCTCTGTGGGCTAATTCATATGTATGTGTGAAGCATTCTAATGTGGGAATGACCTCTGTCAAAAAATTGCATTTCGGGTGACTGTGGACCTGAATCTCCTATCGCACTTGCTCATGTTCCAGACGACTGGGCAGCTCTGAACCCCGGCTACCTCCCTCGAGCTCCATATAGCCTGGGGTGTTAACATGAAAACAACCACCCTGTAAGGATCCTCCTGGAGGGTTGGGTCCACCCTCTGAGCCTTGTGCTATTTAAATACTCCAGTCCTGGGAAACCGTCTGACCCAGCCTGTGTTCTCTAGAATGAGCGTGGCTGGGCCACTTCGATCAGGTCTCTCTGGGCAGGGAATGGGGAAGGCTGTTGGCATTGCTGAACAAGAGCACATGAGACTTTCTTTGCCTTAAGAGATATTGGGTTAAATGTTACCTGGCCAGGTAAGGAAGAGATACCTCTCGTTCCCTTCCAAGCAAATTGTGCATATCAGAAAGGCCACTTGGGGTGACTTCCCACTTTTTATAATCTTCTTATATATATGATTCTCTTGACGCATTGGCCATTTCCAGCTCTCCCATTGGCTGTGCTGTGCACTCCATCAGCCACCAGCCCATCAACCGCCGCTCAAGAGTAATCGCGTGCCATTGGCTGGGTGCTGGGTCTGCTCCTCTTCCCTTCCCACTGCTATCTCAGCCACTGTTCCCTGTCAGAATAACTGCCAATTGGCTGTCTATCCTGACGAAGACACATCTCCTGCTTGGCTCCTGTGAGACTATCATTTCCCTCAGTGGCCGTTGCTAGGCAACCAAGCTTGGTTCTGTCAGTAAAAAGACAAAGGAATGAAGCCCTTTTCAGGCTTTTGTGGGGAACTCATTGGGGCCAGTCCTGACTATGGTTACCAGCTCCAGGTTGGGAAATTCCTGGAGATTTTATGGTAGAGCCTATGGAAGCCAGAGTGGGGGGGGGCAGCCTCAGCTGAACAGAATGCCGTAGAGGCTACCCTCCAAAGCAGTTATTTTCTCCAGGGGGAGAGAGATATCTGTTGTCTGGAGTTCAGTTGTGATACCAGGCGATACCACAGCCAGTGCGACGTAGCAGTTAGCACTTCAGAGCAGGGTCTGCCAGACCCAGGTTCTTGCTGTGTGGAAGCTGAGTGGGTGAGCTTGGACCAGCCACAAACCTGCAGCCTAACCTACCTCACAGGGTTGTTGTGCAAATCGAAAGGGGGAGAGGAGAATGATGAAAGCTGCTTTGGTCCCCATTGCAGAGAGAGACTGTATGTTTCCTCCTGGGGAACCATTGTTGCCAATCTGCAAGTGAGGGCTGGAGATCACTCAGAATTACAACTGCTCTCCAGATGAGAGATCAGTTCCCCTAGAAAATGGTGGACACTGTGTCCTTATACCCTTCTGAGATGCCCCCCCCCCGACAGTTAGTGTGAAATAGCAGTCGGGGCTTCAGAGCACAGTAGAGGCTGCAGGTGGGGGAAGGGATGGAAAGCTGAAGTTAGAGGGGCAAATAAAGGTAGGTTCCCAACTCCAGGCTGGGAAATTCCTGGAGATTTGAGGGGTGGAGCCTGTAGAGGGTGGGGTTTGAGGAAGGGTTGAACCTCAGATAGGTACAATGCAATAGACTCCACCCTCCAAACCAGCCATCTCCTCCTGGGGAACCATTGTTGCCAATCCCCAGGGGAGGGCTGAAGATCACTCAAAATTACAACTGCTGTTCAGGTAGCAGAGATCAGTTCCTCCGGAGAAAATGGTGGACTCTGTGTCATTATACCCTGCTGAGGTCGCTACAACAAATTGACGCTTTGTGCCCAAGGCTGGGCCTCCCAGAGCCTCTTTCTAGAACTCTTATTTATTTCCACAACAGGCCTTATTCCTAGTTGTGTATAATATTCTTAGATGCTGTTCTTCCTTTTCAGTGTACTGGCTGGCAGGAGCTGAAGTTTGTTTCACTGCCTGTGCTTTTTTGTTCTTGATTCCCGTCGCTCTGCTCGGATGCATTCAGGAGCAAATGAAAAAAGAATAAGCAGCCCTGCCTTTTTCCTAGGAATGGAGCTACGGCTGGCCAAGAAACAGTTTATGGGGCTTCCTCTGGTGTTACAGCCAACTCCAACCTCCACTGTTCCTCTGGAACCTGCAAAGGCCCTGGCACTTCTAGATAGTTCTGTGCAGACACTGGGGAGTTCAGTGTGACTGATGTAATTTTGGCTGCGCTGAGTGGAAGAGACCCTGAACAGAAATCTCAGTTGCTGTCTTTTAACAGCCTACGCTCTTTGACATAAAAGTGTTTGTATATCTTGCCAACTTGCCGTGACATTGCAGAGTAGCAACGCTTCATGTTGAAGAGGAAAAAAATTATTCAGTGAAACGGAAGTGTGCTCGACAGTCCCTGTCGTTGTCTGCGAGTGATCACAATGCCATTTTGTGAAATTTCCCAGAGGGCATCATCCACTCTCGCTTTGAGCCTACCAAAGAGGGACCAAAGTGTTTTTCCTAGCACAAATCAGCCAAGGCCAGTGATCGTTGCAGGTATTGTCAACAGGAACTTAAGCAAGTTCTAAACTAAAGACCCGGGTAGCTTGCCGAAGGTCTGTGTTCCACTGTTAGCCTTGGGAGTCAAAGACCAGCGAGCAGCCTTCATGCTTGTGGTACTCACTACCTTGGGGTGTGAGAGAACCTAAAAAGCCCCCAGTGCATTCTGGAATCCATCAGGATTTATCAGCCATGGTATGTTGACCATTTTAACCAGGCCCCCTTTCATGTGGGGTGTTGGAGCCACTTTTAAGTAGGCAGTGATCAAAACATGGTCCAGCATGAATCTCCAGCCCTGAAACCAAACCTTCCCACAAAGACTCAGTGCAAAAGATTAAGTCCAGGGCATGACCACTTTCATGTTTTGGGGCAGTCACAATTTGGGAGAGACCCAAGACAGTCAAAAGAAGCTGTCAAATCCTGGGCTGGTCCTGGTGCGGTGTCCTCAGCATGGATCTTGAAGTCCCCCAGAACGGTCAGTCTAGGAGTCTCCAGCATCACTTCCAATAGCACTTCTGCCAACTCATGGCGGGGGCCACTGGGGAACTAGGTGGCCGGCAGTGTTCCCTCTTAGCCATGTCGTCTTGTGAGCAGAAATTCTGCCTCATCAGCCAAAAGATCTACTACCCTTAAAGTTGTGGGTCTATATAACATCGTAATTTCAGTTCACAAGCATACAAAAATATAAACATGAACTTAAAAGAGAGAAAGAGAAAAGAAACAGAGAAAGAGAGAAACAGAAAGGTGGAAAGAAAGCAAATAGATTGGGAGAGAGGAAAAAAGGAAGGAAGGAAGGAAGGAAGGAAGGAAGGAAGGAAGGAAGGAAGGAAGGAAGGAAGGAAGGAAGGAGAGAGGGGGGAAAAAAGCAAATAGAGAAGTGGGGCCCCGGACAGCGCTGGCACCAGGAGGCCCACGGGAGGGTGGTGGGCTGCATTGGCAAGGAGGGGAAAGGTGGGTGGGTGCAGCCTGCCCCTCCTACCTCCATCCCTGGCTGGGACACGATGCCTGAGGGCCCTGCAGCACACACACCGACAGTGCTGGCACCAGGAGGCCCGTGGAAGGGCGCTGGGTTGTGTTGTCAAGAGGGAGAAAAGTGGGCAGGCACAGAGCTTGCCCTCCCTCCACCCCTGGCTGGGAGGTGAGGCCTAAGGTCCCTGCAGCACACACACACCCAGCAGTGTTGGCACCAGGAGGCCCATGGAAGGCCAGCAAGGGGGACAAAGTCGAGGGAACTAGCAACTCACCTCTATCTTCCTGACTCCCAATAGAGCAGGGCAGAGCAGCAGGAGGGCGACGCCGCAGGTCAGGCAGCTCACAGGAAGGGAACCTCTTGGGCAGCAAAGGTCAATGCCCCCTTTATAAGGCAGGCCCACCGGCCCTGGCTGTGGGGGTGGGGCCAACCTGAAGCACCCCCGTGCTGAGCTAAAATGCACTGTGCGGGGGGGGGTGAATCTGTGGGCCAGCACAGGGTGGCGTACATTAACGGGAACCTTGGTGGCCAGTAGACAACAAGAATGCTTAAGCTATCTTTTTAGCCCCAAATATAAGCAGCATAATAGCCACTCCTCATCCACAGCTAGTTGGTGGAAGACCATGTAACCCGGCAGTGTTCAATAACAGTATGCTTCCAACACACATTTGAAACTACAACCTACGCACACACTGAAGTAAGTAAACCCCATACAGACCTTGCCGGGGGGGGGGGACGACAGACTATGCGAGGGCCCACATAAAGGGCACACGCATGCACGCACACGCACATATATATATCACAGATCATCCGACATTGAAGGGGAATAGCTTTGTCTGCCTCAAAGATATATAGACCAACTAGCCTGAAACTTGTTTCCTTTGAACTTTCGTGTCTCTGCATACCCTTGGGATTTCTGTTCAGTCTGGCGAATTTGCAAAACAGAAAACCCTCCTTGAAGAGGAGGAGTGGGATCTTGTTCGGCCTGGGGCATCTTCCTGAGGTCACCTCAAAAGCAGCGCAGGGGGAAGGCCGTTTGAAAGAGGAAGGGGTTTAGGGGCTATTCCCAGGAGATGCAGCCCGGATCCTCCAGAAGGGGCTGGTGGTCTGTTGCGACTGGAGGGGGCTTCACAGAATTAAAGCAGAGGGGAAAGTCTGACTTATACCAGAGAAGGGAGGCGTGGTGATTGTGCCAGAGGGTGGGCCCACAGGGTCTGCAGCAATGAGGGGAGCCAGTTAAAACTGCCAGCAGCTGCTACTGAAAGAGGGGGGGGGGGAGACCCGCTTCTTACT